CCTCGGTTTCCCCTGCGCTGTCCCGACCCCCGGAAGCGGCCGGCAGGGACAGGCAGGTGGGCTGCAGCCCGGCTCTCGCTCCCTCCCCGCTGCCCTTCCTCCCGGGAGGCACCTCAGGACACGGCCTGATGGCTTTTCTGTGTCAAGTTCCTCCAGACTGAACCGCCCGAGGCCTGTGGATTAGTTTATTTTTGAGGAAAAAAATGCTAACAGCTGAGTCTGGCGGAGCGGAGCGGGCTGTTGACTTCAGAACGTTGGCTCGAGGACGGGTGGGGGCGGGGTTGTCCAGACCCCCAAATAAACAAGCAGTCTGCTCCCAGCCAGCCCAGGCCCTCGGTTTTCATGTGGAAAGGGGCGGTGGGAACCCAGTCCTCCCCTCCCACTGATTCACGGGTGACTCATCCCTGAGGGGAGGAGGGCCAGGAACCAGGCCCTGCCCGCCCCCCAGCACTCCCCCCGCCCCATCGTCTTAAAGGGACAGGGCCTGGCAGAGCCCCTGTCACCAACCAGCTGACCGGGGAGCCCCGAACAGGTGCTCCAGGTCCTGGGGTTCCCACTCCCACGCCCAGTATTCCCCACCCCCAGCCTCTGTTTCCCGGGATGTGAACTGGGCCATGATGCTGCTCCTGCAGGCTGGTCCTGCAAGGCCTGGTTAGTGGGCTGACCATGGTTCTCGTGGTGGTGTTTGCAGCCCTACTGTGTGCTGGGCCCGAGGGGGTCAAGAGGAGCATGCCCCTCCCCCGGCACCTCCCTCTCCTCCCCCCTCCTTCCTTCCCACCTTTCTGAAGTGTTTCCAGAGGCTTCCATGGGCCCTGCCTGTGCTGCTTACTCGCTGGCTGTGGGGAGAACCAGACTTGTCTCTGTCCAGAAGGAGCGTGTTGGTGACTCCCTGGAGCTCCTGCAGCCCCACTGCCCGGCCCTGCCCACCAGCCGGGGACAGGGTGACACAGTGCCCGGCCCTGCCCACCAGCCGGGGACAGGGTGACACAGTGCCCGGCCCTGCCCACCAGCCGGGGACAGGGTGACACAGTGCCCGGCCCTGCCCCACCAGCCGGGGACAGGGTGCCACAGTGCCCAGCTTGCCCACCAGCCGGGGACAGGGTGCCACAGTGCCCAGCTTGCCCACCAGCCGGGGACAGGGTGCCACAGTGCCCAGCTTGCCCACCAGCCGGGGACAGGGTGCCACAGTGCCCAGCTTGCCCACCAGCCGGGGACAGGGTGCCACAGTGCCCAGCTTGCCCACCAGCCGGGGACAGGGTGCCACAGTGCCCAGCTTGCCCACCAGCCGGGGACAGGGTGCCACAGTGCCCAGCTTGCCCACCAGCCGGGGACAGGGTGCCACAGTGCCCAGCTTGCCCACCAGCCGGGGACAGGGTGCCACAGTGCCCAGCTTGCCCACCAGCCGGGGACAGGGTGCCACAGTGCCCGGCCTGTTCTGTTTGCGCCCCAGCCCAGCCCCAGCCTCCGCCAGGCCCTCCTCTCCACTTCCCTACTTTTGCGGGTATATCTGCGTATGTTTGCCTCTGGTAGATCCTTCGGAAAGTCCATGAAAGACAAGCTCACTCGTCACCCGCCTTCCCCCGAAAACCCACGTGCACTACTTTGCTGTGTGGCCCGTGGCCTTTTCCCTCGGGCAGTGCAGAGGGCGACCCTTGTGAAGTCACTGCAGGTACCACTGAGCGGCCCTGTAAAGTGCCCTCTGGAGGGACCACATTGAAAGAACAGCATTTGGCTGAGGCCGCCGTGCCGCCTGGTTCTCAGGGCACCGGGTCAGGACCTCAGCCGCCGGTACAGCGTGCGGACTCCCTGAACCCCAGGGACCTGGGGGGGAGTGTGTGTGTGTGTTGGGGGGCACGGGATAGACGTGCCTAAGGGGCTTCCGGCCCGGGCGTTGAAGCCGCTGAGCCCAGGATCAGGCCACGTGATCGTGTGCCGTTGTTTGATGAGACATTTCATCGTCTTGTGTTGTTCCCACGGGGCCCGGGGCAGAGGCAGCCACACCCATTACCTTTGTGCGTGAGGCTGGGTCTGCCTGCGCTGTTCCAGGCCTGGGCCGGGCACACCCGGGCTTCCCTCGGCTCCATCACTGGTCACGCTGCGGAGCGTGGCTGGTCGCGGGCCTGTAGCAGCGCAGGGCGCACGGAAGGTGTTCGACATGAAGGGTTGCATACACGGCACACGAGCGCAGCGCTGGGTGAGGCGTCGTGTGGGAGCCCCACGCGGGGCACTCCTGACGGGGAGACGTCTGCGGAGGGCTGCCTGGAGGAGGTGGGTTTGAGCTGTGCCCGGGACAAGCTGGGGCCGCCTGTTTGGGGAGAAGTGGGGTGTGGTCCTTGGGGTGGGGGCAGAATGGTGGGCGATGGAGCAGAAACTCCAGCAAGGGGCCCAACCGGTGACACAGGCGGGAGGGGTGACCCCGGCCCCCCCACCAGCACAGCTCAGTGGGCTGAGCCTCGGGCTGGGATACAGCAGCCCCAGTGTGCACGGGAGAGCTGCAGACCTCGCCACGCCTCCGCGCCAGCCGGGTTTGGGGTCCCCCAGGGCCCGGGCATGGGGATCGCCTGGTGGGGAGCGTCTTGGGGGAGACAGAGCCTGGTCAGGCAGCGGGTTCAGGGCTGGTTCCCGTCCTGCCTGGAGGCTGGAGCCTGAATCCGGGTCCCAGGGCCCCGGGCAGTGGTGAGAGCTGGGCCGGGGGCAGGCAGCTTCGCCTTCAGCGGTGCCGGGAGGATTAGCGATCCCCCGTGGAAACACCCTGAGACCTAGGTTGCTGCGAGCACAGAGCCCTGGCCCCGAGTGGGCCCTGTTCCTGGGCTGGCCGTTACCATGGCCTCTGAGCCTCAGACCCACCCCACCTGGGGCCTGGCCTCTAGGCAGAGGGCTCCTGGGCACTGTGGCCCCTGGCTGCCCACCGTTGGCACATGGAGGAGCCGGTAGTGGCTGGCAATGCGCCCGCCTCCTAGCCAGGATCCAGCCACCCAGACAGGCGGCCTTTGATTCAGGCCGACCGCAGCGGGCCGGACCCTCTGTGGCCAGTGCCCGCGGCTGCTGGAGACAGACATCGAGGGATGGGGGTGGACATCGAGGGATGAGACGGGGGCCCTCCTCGCCACCCCGGACCCCAGGACTGAGGCCAGCTCTCCTCCGGGCCCTGCGTCCCAGATCAGACGTAACGGGCAGGGGGGCCTCGGGGACCCTAGGGAAGGGAGCCTGCTTCCCCCCTCACTACATGTGCGCCATCCTCTCGAGGAGCCTCAGTGTCCCCACTTTGAAAACGGGGCCGTCCCTGCTGTCCCTGAGTGGCTGGAACATTAGTTGGGACGTGGGGAGGGACCGCATTTCCCGCAGACGTTTATGGCTCCGCTGCAGGCTGCCTGCTCCCTGCTCTCCCTGCTGCGCCCACTGCCCCTTGCTGCCCTCTGCCTCCCGGTGCTCGGTCGCTCCCAGAGGTCATCAGGGCTGATCCACGAGAGGCTCTGCGAGCCGGGCCCCCTTTGCTCACCATCAGGGTGGCAGGGCGTGGTGGCATCGCCCCCCCCCGCCCCCCGGGAGGCAGGAGCTTCCCTTAGCGCAAGTCCCCTTCCCACCCGGTCCCACAGGTGGGGGAGGGGTCTTCAGTCTCATCTTCAGACCAGGAGTCGAGGCCCAGAGAGGGTAAGTGATTTGCCTGAAGCCACACAGCCAAACGTGGTGCCGCCTAGCCAAGCCGGGGTGTGCGGAGCTCAATGCCCAGTGCTCCTTCTGGGCCAGGACCAGCGAGAGCAGTGCTGGGCCGCTCCGGTTCCAGAGGGCGCCAGTCCCGGCAGACCCGGCACATGCCTGAGCAGGGGGACGAGGCCTAGGCCTTGCCTCCAGTTGTGGTCCCAGAGGCAGCAGCCCCGCTCTGCTGAGGCAGCAGAAATCTGAGCCGGGGAAGGATGCAGGGGAGTGTGTGAACCTCCTGGCAAGTCCGGCGGCGGTGCGGCCAAGTGAACTGCCGATGGAGGCCAGGAGGGGCCCACAGTGGTGACCAGGGACAGCTCTGGCGGGAGGACCCTCATCCAGTCAGGCTCTGGCGGCGGGACAGCGCCGCAAAGGGAGGGACGGTGTCCTTGTGCCAGGGCATTGCTGTATATGGCAGAGCAGCGGTCCCACGGGGACCAGCCCAGACCCAGCCTGAGTGGCACATCACGGCTGTGCAGCCCAGAGCAAGTGTCCCAACCTCTCTGAGCCTCCTGGCCGCCTGGCAGCACCTAGGGAGGTGATGTGAGGAAGCGCAGCATTAACACTTCCTGGGGTGAGCGAGTGCCCTTCCCTGTGTCTGGGTCACTGCGCTGCGGAGTGTCCTGAAGGGCTCTGAACCCGTTGGGGGGTCTCCGGGGGAGCGTCCCCCTCCCCACCCACCCGGGGCAGGCCCTGGGCGGTGTGTGGGGCTCACTAACGCACCGTGTTCTTCCTGCCAGTGTAGGTCTCCACCAGCTGACCAGCCCGCGGTACAAGTTCAACTTCATCGCCGACGTGGTGGAGCAGATCGCGCCGGCCGTGGTGCACATCGAGCTCTTCCTGAGGTGTGTGACCCCCCCCCCCCCCCCCCCCCCCCCCCCCCCGCGCACCCCTCCACCTGGGTCCCAAGCTAGGCTCCACTCTAGCCCTGGGGCAGTAGCAGCCAGAGTGGGCTTGGGGTCAGGTGACCTCACCCGACTCCTGGCTGCCGTGCGCCCTTGGGAGGGACGTCCCCCTGGGACTCGGATCCCCTCTCCTGGGGAAACGGACGGCTACCCCGCACCTCGCAGAGCTGCAGGCGCCAGGCCGGGGCACAGTGGGCGGGGCTGTGGTTCTTTCATTCATTCACAGGACCAGTTTTCCAGAGCAGCTCCTACGGGTTTATATCTCAGAGAAGCCATTTGTAAAGCCTAGAGCAGTGGTTCTCAACCTTCTGGCCCTTTAAATACAGTTCCTCATGTTGTGACCCAACCATAAAATTATTTTCGTTGCTACTTCATAACTGGAATGTTGCTACTCTGATGAATCGTCATGTAAATATCTGATATGCAGGATGGTCTTAGGCGACCCCTGTGAAAGGGTCGTTCGACCACCAAAGGGGCCGCGACCCGCAGGTTGAGAACCGCTGGCCTAGAGAAAGGATCACCACATCCCGGCCCCGGCACAGGGCCCGGCTCGCTGGGTGCCACGCTTGCCCAGTGGGAGCCCTGGTCACTGGGGGCCACTGCCCATCTCTGGAGGCAGGGACGGGGCTCCCTGGGGCCAGCGGGCAGCAGGCAGCA